TGCTGTTTAGACTTGACAAAATCGGCTTCCCCTCTCTGAGGCTCAGACAGCTTGTCTATAAAATGATGAGAACACTTTGGGGGCATGTGATGTGCTTTGTGAGGCTGCTTTGTGAGGCTGCTGCAGGGGGAAGTGAAGGCTGCAGGTGTGCAGAAACTTAGCCATACAAGTGCCTGGGGTGTGTAGGCGTAATTTCACGTGTGACTTGAGTCTCTCCGGACCGTCACGAATACACGATGTGACTGTGAAGCTGCGGTGAAACGGCCAGTCAGGGGGCACCTGCAGCTTTATTGTGCATGCATCCTGATTTCCTGGTTGTGAGCTCATCTTTGGAAAAGTTGTGCTGTTGCTGACATCACAAGTTCCTGAAACCGGAGGTGGAAGAATTAGGACCCCTGACTCAAAATTTTCTCCTTTGTGGGTTCCTTGTGCTTGCCGGCCCCTCCCCATCACCATGCAGCAGCGTCCACAGCCTTAAGAAGAGGAGTCGCGGGCCCCTGGCCCCTTGCCAGGGGAGGCTCTCGGGGATGTGTGTCTGGGCCCTAGGTCAAGCTGCCGCTGTACTTTGACTGCAGATTTTCCCTTGTTAGAGTGACTACAACCTGTGGACCACATACCAGAGCCAGGAAACTCAGCAGGTCCAGATGGAGGAGAGGAATGTCTTCTGCGGGACTTACAATATCCGCATTCTCTCTGACACGTAGGTACGGGGGCCAGAATCCAGGTCTCCAGGGACCCTTGAATTACCACACTGGCTTAGGGTCTCCACGACCCTCGCTCACCTGGAGAGACAGTGGTCCCTCCACCCCACAAGCTCCAGCTCCAGAACAGCACGAGACCCCATTTGGGGAATAGGTGCTTGATTGTTGCACCTTTCCTGGCAGCAGCTGGAGGATGCTCTCCCCTTATAAACTTGGGGTGGACTGACCAACGACCTTTTGCACACACACGAAATATTTTAAAACTGTATTTATTGCTTTATTCTAATTTTAGAAGTAATATATATTTATTGGGAAAAAATCCACTAAAAGCCAGAAAATGTCTAGAGAAAAGGAAAGTTGTCCCACGGCCTTGCCACACAGAGATAACTACCATTGACATTGCTGTTGATCCTAGAATTTCTTCTTTGCGTGTATGGACACATATTTTAAGGAGATGCAGGGCTGTGCTGCGCCCCCGACTTCAGCAGAGCACTGGAATGTCTGTCCATGGCAAATATGAAAATGGCATTTATGATAACTGTGGGGTGTGACTTCATTTAAATAGTCCAGAAGAAGCCCCATTAATAATCAACTTTCTGCTCTGCTTTAGACCTAGGAGTCACTTTTTATTCATAAAGTTTTGGGAAGGCCATATCTATTTTATTTTTGGCCGTGAACCTCACTAACAAGTTGCATTTTGACCACCAGGAGGGGGAAGACAGAGCAGGCAGGGGGAAGGCAAAGTTGAGTTTTTACGGAGAGCATGGTGATACGTGCTCTTCAGAAGAGAGGATGACAGCTCGAACTCTAGAAATGACAAATGGAATGAGGACAAAAACGTCAGGATTTGCTCCTCATATTCAGGGTGACTATAAATCCCTGTTTACTGGAACAATCCCACTTCACTCTGTGGTCCTTGAATTAATAATAGTGTCTCCTTTCACAATGAAAAAAATCTCACTTTGGACAATAAATTATTCAGTCATCCTGCTCATATTCCATCTATTTGCTGATGCTCTTATGATTGGAAAATTAATTCAACTCACCCTGTTTCACAGACTATCAGCTCATTGAGGGGCAAGGTCCATCCATACCCTATTCATCTTTGAATTTCCCATTAGCACCTGTTAGCCCAGGACTTTGCTCCTAAAATATGCCGAGTAGATGTCGGTTAAAGGGGGGAAAAGATGGAAACAGTGGGATGTGCAGTGGGTCTAGGGCTTCCCAATTGTGTTCATCTGAGGTTTTCCATGAAAAAAGGTTTCCACGGTCTAACAAGTTGGGAAATGCTACGACTCTTTTATCTCCCTTGGGGACTTGTCATACATTAGCAGAATTAAGAAAAAAACAGTCTGGCCTTTTGTCCTTAGGTTTTAAATCTACCTGAAGTAGGCTTTTGTTATGGTGTGAGGTGGGGGCTCCACCAGGGCCTGCTGACACGAGGTCTAGCCTTCTTCTGCCTCCGGTGTTGGAAGG